TATGGAAGTGGTGCCACACTCGTATGATGTAGCTTCAACATGTTATCTTCCTCACCATGGTGTCTATAAAGCATCGAGTTCTACAACGAAGCTTCGCGTAGTCTTCAATGCTTCTAATAAATGTTTGAGCGGAATATCTCTTAATGATTGTCTGCATATAGGTCCCAGATTACAAAATGATCTATCAAATATCATCTTGCAATGGCGGCATTACCCTATAGTGTTTACAGGAGATATCGAGAAAATGTACAGGCAAATTCTTGTTGATAGCAAAGATGTGGATTTGCAACGAATAATGTGGCGCGTTCGACACGGGGACGCCCCTACAACGTTCCGGTTGCTCACTGTAACAAATGGGACTAATTGTGCTCCATATCTTGCCATCAAAGTATTGCGTACTCTGGCAAAAGAGGAGCAAACTCGTTTTCCACGGGCAGCTGAATCGATTCTAAATGAATTTTACATTGATGACGTACTATCAGGTGGAGACACTCCAATCGAAGCTGCAGAAAAATTGCACGAACTTCAGGAGCTTCTAGCAACTGCAGGCTTCACTTTACGTAAATTTAATTCGAATTCAAATGACGTTTTAAGCACTCTGACTGAGGACGTAAAAGCTCACGCCGACGATGTGGAAATTAACACCGAGTATAAAACTAAGACACTTGGTCTTACTTGGTATACAAAATCCGACAGTTTTGGTTACAACGTCAATGTAACTTGTGACAACCATCATTACACAAAACGACTAATGTTGTCTGACATATCGAAGTTATTTGATCCACTTGTGTTCTTGGCTCCGGTTATCATTCGAGGAAAGATGTTTCTGCAACAACTCTGGCGTACTGGATCCGATTGGGATGATCCCTTGTCAATAGAGATGGCAAACATTTGGCATAACTTTCGTATTGACTTACAACAATTACATCACATTCGAATCCCACGTTGGATAAACACCACTTCGACAAGTGCAATTGAATTACACGCATTTGGTGATTCATCAAATCAAGCATATGCGGCTGCAGTATATGCGAAAACAACCATCGGTACGACCAGTTTTTGTAAATTTGCTTATTAGTAAAACTAAGGTAGCCCCGTTGAAAGAAACGTCTATACAACGTTTAGAATTATGTGCAGCATTGCTAGCAGCAAAACTTCTACACAAGGTTAAAGGAACATTTAAGTGTCAACCATCACGCTGTATTTTGTGGACTGATAATACAACCACACTGTGGTGGATTAGAACTGATCCAGGCAAATTGAAGCAGTTCGTGGCAAACAGAGTGTCACAAATTCAGTCAATGACAAATATTGAAGACTGGAGGTATATTGCAACAAAGGATAATCCGGCTGATTGTGCATCACGAGGCAGTACTGTTTTGCAACTAAAAGATAATCTGATGTGGTGGTATGGACCATCTTGGCTTCGCTTAAATGAGAAAATGTGGCCTAACCACCAAATCAATCATACTCCTGACAGTTTACCTGAGAAAAAAGAGATTAACTCATTAACTACGCAGTTATCAACAGAAGTGTGGGAAATATTTGGACGATATGCTACTCTTGATAAATTACTCGTAGTCGTGGCGCAATGCCTACGTTTTATTCATATGTGTCAAAAAAGGATGCGTAGGGATGAAAGTTTCTGCACTTGGCAAGAACGTTATACGGTTCTTAAAAAATTAGTAACAATTGTACAAAGGACCGAGTTTACCAACGATTATGCTGCTTTACGGAAAGGCAATCCAATTAACAAATCAAGTAAATTGTTTAAATTGAATCCGAAGCTTGATTCCGACGGAATTATGCGTCTAAATGGAAGACTGCAAAATGCGAATATTCCTTCAGATGAACGATGTCCAATGATATTACCCAGACGTCATGATTTTACTACGTTGATTATTAATCAAGCTCATAGTCGAACATTACATGGCGGAACTCAAACAACATTAGCATATGTGCGACGGCAATTTTGGGTTATTGAAGGAAGATCCGCTGTGAAGAGAGTGATTAACAAATGCATTACATGTTTTCGTCAAGCCTGTCGACCGCAAGCACAACTTATGGGTAACTTACCTCCAGCACGGTGTAATATATCACAGCCATTCATGCACACGGGCGTGGATTATGCTGGTCCATTTAATGTGAGAGCGACAAGAGGGAGAGGCCATCGTACTTACAAGGGGTATGTGGCTCTATTTATATGTTTTATTACACGAGCTATTCATTTGGAACTTGTGAGTGATATGACATCTGAAACCTTTCTAGCAGCGTTAAAGCGATTTGTATCAGTCCGGGGCATATGCTCAGATATGTACAGCGATCGTGGTACATCCTTTGTCGGTGCTGATGCTTTAATGAAAGATGAAATTAAATTATTTAAAAAACAAATTGAAGCTGGGTCTGTGTTTGCATCAACCGTTGGCATAAATTGGCACTTTATACCACCCGCAGCGCCTCATTTTGGTGGCCTATGGGAAGCAGGAGTAAAAAGCATGAAATTTCATCTTAAGCGTGTAGTAAACACGGCAACTTTAACTTTTGAAGAATTTTACACGTTATTAAAACAAGTCGAAAATTGTTTAAATTCGCGGCCGCTTACGGCTCTATCTGATGACCCCACAGACTTATCAGCGTTGACACCAGGACACTTTTTGATTGGACGAGCGCCATCTGCCGTACCTGAACCTAATTTGCTAAATACAAAGATTGGTGTACTATTCCGATGGAAGATGTTAAGCCAGATGTATCAAGACTTTTGGCGTCGTTGGTCCCAAGAATATTTAACACAATTACATGCCAGAAACAAATGGACTAAAAGCCAAACAAATGTCGCAACCGGTCAACTGGTCCTACTTCGAGATGAACGATTGCCTCCAAGCTCCTGGTTGCTTGGCCGCATTATCCAAGTCCATCCTGGCACGGACGGTGCTGTTCGTGTCGTAACCATAAAAACACAGTCCGCCATTGTGAAACGGCCAATTACGAAGATCTCTGTTTTACCAATCGACATTGAAGGACGTCCTGAAGCACACGAGTAATATAGACGCAAGATGCGGTTGTACCTCCACGTCTAGGTGGGAGAAATGTTTAAAATTATCTATATCAATCTGGCAACCACTGTGTGTGGGCTGCTTTTAATGGTTAGCAAGTTGTTTCATTCTTCTTGTTGTACGAGCATCCGTCGTGTTCGGTTGTGTTTCGTGTTGTGCAGTAAATTTGTTTGAGTTTTGTTCTAATTACATTTAAAAATATGTTTTATATGATAAGTAATATTAGAGATAAATAAATGAAATATTCTTTGAAACTTTAAAGAAAGAAAAAACCGCATTTAACGAACACAAGTAAAAGAATAATTAAGATTGAGTTTAGTAGATTCTACTCAAAGATATTGTTTACCAAAAAAAATGATAGCAATCCACTACATATAAGTTCCGATATAGTATTTAAAACATGATCGGCTCATCGCTGAGACTGGGCATAAAACCATAATAATTAATAATTGGAATAATTAGGAAATTAATAGAACTGGTTTCAAACCGCGTTTATTACAATAAAAATATTAATATTAAAATATTGTTGAAAGCGAGATAGAAACTTCATTTTCAAATGACTTATGAACGTAGAAATGCACCTGTAAGTATTTCGGTAGTCAATTTACAAATCTTTATGACATATTGGGAAGTCGAATTCTAATACTTCATAATTTGTTTTTCAATCTATACATATATGTAAACAATCACTCATTATCTTATGGTTCATCAGCTATTATCATATAAGCATGAGAAAATGTCTTTCACAGTAATTTTTTTGCTAGAAAGCATTACTGCAGGAACTAATAAATGTCTTAAGTGCGGTGACGTATTTTTAATAAATATATAAAACATAGTTCAAAATCACAGATCAAATTTAAGCGATTTTTATTTTTAGTTTGAACTCCAAAATAAAGCAGAAATAAAATTACATAAAAGAACTCTTAAATTGACTTATACATTTAGTACGCGTTAATTGGCCAAAGTCAGAAAATATAGAACTTTTTAAGTTTGTCTTAAAAACATTTTAATAGTACCGACGAAATATCTATAGTCTTTAGTCTCATTTTCAGGGTAGTCTATAGTGATGCGTTCGGTTCCAATTTTTATGTTCATTAAATGTCTTGCGATAAATACCAAGTTATTAGACATTGTAAACTATTACTATTTTTAGAAAGATTTTTATTTTTTTTTACAGTATGCTGTGTTTTAATACACTTTCATTTTTACATGTTAGTTCTAAAGTTGCAAAATTAAAAATTAAAAACATCACCGAAAACTATTATTAATTAAAGTTTGTTTAATCCAGCTGAAGCACTTAGCTATAGTGATATATATTATTATTGTTAGGGGATGTGGCACTGCCACCGTTGTGTTTATTGTGCCCTCTTCTTGTCAATAAAAAACAGTATAGAATCTACTTCACAGTGTTTTATTGCCTCTTCCGTAAGAATATATATTCCCAGGAGTCTATTCCGTATGTGCATTAGCGCAGGGCATTCGAACAGCACATGTGTGGCCGACTCCTCGTTCTCTTAGCAGAATCTTCAGTTTGCATCCGTAAGTATACCCAGTCTTGTAAGCTGGTGTTTTAGTTTATAGTGCCCTGTTAGGATTCCTGTGACGATTCTAAGTTCTTCTTTTGATAAGTTCATGATTTGGATTGTTTTAATTTTGGTATATTATCCTATTAATAGTGAGTTATGTAGTATCGTGAAAAAAATTTTTTTCTGAATAACAAAATAAATTTTACTTAAATCGTTTTCAAATTCTGGCGAGTACAAAAATGTAATTTTTATTTAATATTAAATTGCATGCTATTCATATTATATGTTTACCAAAAGTTTCTGACAATATCTATAATTTATCCAGATGTAATAAAATGATAATAGTAATAGTAAAAAGATTTTGCATCAATTCTTAGTTTGTTCTGTTATGGTAATTAAATTATACGACATCAAAAAATATTTAATCTGAAAAACATACAAATTACGGGTATCTTCGTTCTTCTATCTAAAGTTCTGCAGTTATTTTTGTGAAACTCCACAAGTGCACAATACTCACCGAATCATTTTCATATATTCAACAACAAAACAAATAGGAGATGCCAAATAAATATTTACAAATAATTTGCATTAAATTACTTTCATGGCAATTTGGCGTATTAATTTTCTGGCATTTACAGTGCACAAATCCTTATCAGAGCGCTTTGATGAAAAATTCTCTTTGGGATTGAATGCGCATGTATCTTATATACAATGAGCAGTAAACAGTATCGCAAAACCATGTGCTACTGCCCCAGTGCCATGCAAAACAGTTGACTTTCCTTCATGGCATGTGTGCCTTACTCCGAAAAAGTACCGAATTAAACGTGGCAAGGATTTTGTTTTGAAAAGGAATGCTTAAGCTAAACAGCATTCGTTCCGTTTAAATGTTAAGTGATTATTGTGGCAAAATCTTAGTCATCTGACAACTACTGAAGAGTGCGTTTCGCGTAGCGGAAAATCGCAGTGAATAATTCGTTTATGAAAATGTGAGTTTGTTACAAAAATATGAAAATGGAATTTTTTTAATTGAAATTAAAGATTTATATCGTTTAATTTAAAACAAAAAGTGTGAATTTACATCATTCAGTGATATAACAACTGAAATAAATTTTCGTTAAAAATTGTTATAATTATTAAAAATTAAATTTAAACAAATATTTTAAGTAATTATTCAATTTATAAGCTTATTGAATGTTTGAATTAAAATTTAATTAATTTAAAGATAACAAATGCGTACGAAATTATGTGTAATTTATATGAAAAATTCTTATACGTTTACAAACAAACAACATAAAACTACTATCAAATACAAAAACTTTAATATAATTGTATCCTCACACCGTGCCTTTGTTGTATATAATTTTGTTCATAAAAAATTCACAGTTGTGGGAGAGAAATTTTTCCTTGGATATCATTTCACTTTTCATCTTTTTCGTGAACTTCAATATGCCAAATTGTATTTATTTAATATTCAGCGGCTAAACTTATTTGCTCCTTTGTATCTGCGTTAAGTCAAGGCAATGCCAAGCATCATTTCATTTCACTTCAAATCTTTCGTAATAAGTGAATATCTTATTTTCAATGCCAAGTTTAAGTTGATACATTGGAGACTAATTTAATTTCATTTCGTTATATTTTCTTTAATTTTATTAATTATATTTTAGTGCTGCTTTGGCAAATAAAAAATTAATATTTTTCGTTTAAATAGTTTTTCATATTTAAATTTCATAAGTAACACGAAACTGCTATCTGAAATATTCTATGTTGTGTATATCAGCTTAGATTATTAGAAAAATGTTAAGCATTTAATCTAAAAAATAAAATCTTAGATCATTAAAAAAATTAAATCAATTCGATAATAAAATAATAAATATTACAAATAAATGAAACTCACGTTAAGGTAAAGAACATATGTATTTTTATTTTCTTTTAATATCTATTTACTGTCTTAAAAATATTAAAAGTTAAAATTTTAAGTTAAAAATATATTTAACATATTAATTTAATTTATTTTAATATAACTTAATACATATATACTAGCTTATAAAGTTATGAGTGCACTAATCATGTCCATCAATTATTAAGTTTGCAACAGTAGTGTAATATATGCACAAATATCCACTTCTTTTAAACCTATAGAAAGTTATATAATACATCCTTATTTAAAATCAATTTTATTATTACATTAATCTGAGTTCTACGTATACGATATCTGATATTAATATTTCTTAACATCTCTTTCATTGTTTTCCTTAAAATTACTTTACTTTATCCTTCTTCCATTATTATTAGTTATTATGTATTCTTTTACATTTGGATATAGATTGCTTTTGTATTGCTCTGGCTAAATTTGATATCAATCGAAAAATAAATACTTTAATATTAAAATTAGCATCTTATCTTCTGGACTTTGATCTACATTGGTATTATGTTGATCCGACGTCCAAAACATATTTTTTTTTACTATTTTATTATTAAAATTTAAATCTTTTTTTAACATATATAAGAGATTAACAATAATTTATTAAATCTTATTAAAAATTAAAAGTAACCCTGTGTTAAAAGTTAAATTTTAAAAAATAAACAAAATTTCTGAAATTATAAGAGCTTGGTTTACTCAGAAATCTCAGTTAAAAATTTTAACATAAGGAACTTTTTGGTACCTTTTAACTGATTTTGGCGATCATTTCTTTTTAGTAAATAAACTGTGGTAGTAAATGCAATTTTTGACTAAAGCCATAACGTATTCTTTAATAAATCTCATGTGGTTGGACTCGGTTTTTATGGTTGGTGCATGAAGATCGCTGTGAGGACTATATACTTTGAATGTAGTAGTGGTCTAGGATCTTATAAGCCACATTAGTTAGAAAGATTGTGGTTATGATTACATTTTTTTGCTTCAATATATTTGTATTAGGTTATGCGAAGGATGCCGAAGTATGTCATATTATTAATTGAATATATTATTTCAAATTTGAAATTTAAAAATTTTTAATTAATTGTTTGTAAAGTATATTTATTTTATATATTTATATTCTGTGTAACGAATCATGTATGTAAAGTTAATCATACGCTATGTAGTACACAACTATTTTCAATAGAATAGTACAAAGTTTTTATATTAAAAAAAGTGTTTTCTTAATAAAAAACTATTCACTAGCTTTCATTAAAATCACCAATAAAAAAAAGGCTGTTATTAATTGTGCTTTACAAGTAATTAATTGTGCTTTGTCTACATATTTTATTTATTTATTTATTATTTAATTATTATTTAATTTTTTTATAATGCATTTTTCTATTTTTTTTATTCTCATTTTAGTTATCATTTGTCTTCTACACCTAAATATATACTTATAAGGTGGTCTGGAGCAATTTCTTATGATTCCGTAGAGGTCAGGTTTTTATGAAAACATTATTAAATCCTTACATATTTTTAAAATATAGTACATATGATTTAAATTT